CACAGCACACGGGTGGTACAGCCACTCTCTCCAGGACACAGTGGACTGTAAAAAAAAAAAAACAACCAAAAACACAAAACAAAAAAACAAACCAGTTCACCACCCCTGGGACTCAGCCTCCCACTCAAGAAAAGGATGGACAGATCCACCACCTCTAGGACCTATGAGACCTCCAGAGCCAAAGTGAAACTCCGTTTCTGTTAAGACTAGGCCCGGCTTTGCCACTGTGGGCTTCACACCAGTCTGATGCCAGAGTCTCAATCTGTCACACGCAGGCAGCCCCAGTTGGTCAGGACATGCAACTTGTGCTTCGGGCTTCAGCCACATGCCTGCTTCAGTTATCTCAGGTTTTGCTGGGATTTTCTTGATGTGAAAGCTTTTACTACCTCACCCTCACCTTTGTCCTTCTCTCCACCTTGGTCAGAGAGCAACTAGGAAGATCTTTGACCGCCCCCACTTCATTGGAAATAGAATCTTTTCTCACACAGTATATCCTGCTTACAGTTTCCCCTCCCTCCACTCCTCCCCATCGATTCCCATCTCCCCTTCGATCCAAATCCATTCCCTTTCTGTCCCTCACTAGAAATAGACAGGCTTCTAGGAGATATCAACCAAACGTGACGCAATACAATAAGATAAGACAAAGCAAGAACCATCACATCCAAGTTGGACATGGCAAGCCAACAGAAGGAAAAGAGTCCTAAGAGCAGGCACCAGTGCCAGAGACCCACTCGTTCACGGATTCAAGAGTCCTATGAAAATACTAAACTGAAAGCTGTAATATATACACTGAGGACCCGGTGCACACCCACAGGCTCTGTCCTTGCTGCTTTAGTCTCTGTGAGTTCCTATTACCTTTGCTCAGTTGATGAAGAGGGCCTTGTTTTCTTGGATTCCACCATCGCCTCTGGCTCTTACATAGTTTCATCCTCTTCTTCCCTGAGGTTCCCTGAGCTCTGAGGGGAGGGATTTAATAGAGACATCTTATTTAGAGCTGTGTGTTTCAAGTTCTCTCTCTCTCTGTCATGTCTGGCCGTGGGTCTTTGTATTTCTTCCCATCAGCTGCAGGCAAAAGATTCCTTGAATGAGGCCTCTGCAAGGGCAGCTGAATAAGGCAAAAAATAAAGTCTTTAAAGAGACAGTAAAGGTAGTATAAAAAATAAGCCACGTTAGATGTATATTTTAAAGGTATCTTGACTTCAAAATTTGAATATAAGGATATGTTACCTTGACCCAGATGATCTGGCTCAGACGATACAGCCTCATGGACTATAGCAGGAAGTAGTAAGAGAAGCTACGCCCAAATTCCAAAATTATATGTAATTTTACTTTGTTAAGGTTAAAACCTTCCTTTTTTTTTAAAAAAAAAAAGGGGGGAAGATGAGCTGTAGGAGGAGAATAAAGCTGGGAAGTGGAAGGCTGATGCCGGTAAGCCATTGGCAAGGTGGTCATCCTTGTGTGGGCAACAGGAAGGAGAGAAGCCTGAAAGGCAGGCTTCAGGTTGCCCTGAAGCCATGAGGTAGTACAGCCAGCACCAATAGAGGCTGGCCTCAAGCCAGAATAAGAGGCCTGGGGCAAGGCATGCTCTAGTCTCCTGCCTGAGCACCAGAATGCCACTAGCTGACCAGGACCTTCCAAACTCAAAGAGCTCATTGTCACTGTGGTGATATATTGTAGACCCTAATAAACTTGCCTGAGGATCAGAGGACAGAGTCTAGCCACTACATTCGACCTAGAGGTCAGGCAGTGGTGTCACACACCTTTAATCCCAGCACTTGAGAGCTCATGCCTTTTCTTGGGAAGCACACACATCTTTAATCGCAGGAAGTAGTATGGCAGGGCAGAGAAAGGTGTATAAGGCATGAGGAAATAAGAACTCTCTCTTTAGACTGAGGATTTCTTACATAGAGGTAAGAACTAGTGGCTGGCTGTTCTGCTTCTTTGATCTTTCAGCTTTCACCCTGATATCTGGCTCTGGGTTTTTTTTTTTTTTTATTAAAAGACCATCTAAGATTCTAACAACATCTGGCCATGTCATATGTGCTTCGACCTCTGTTTCTGCTCTCTTCTCATTCCTGAAGAACTTGAAATACTCCATTCTTAATAAAGGGAGTGAAGCTGCTGGGCCAATGTTGACACTCCCCAACACACACACACACACACACACACACACACACACACACACACACACACACACACACATACACACACAGACACACACACACACACACACACACACACAGAGAGAGAGAGCTAGAGAGAGAGAGAGGGGGGAGAGCGCTAGAGAGAGAGTAGGAGAGGGAGGGAGAAAGACAGAGGGAGGGGAAGAAAGACAGAGGGAGAGGGAGAGGAAGAGAGAGGGTGGAGGTAAATATGTGGACCTTGTGGTGCTTTAAATGAGAAAGTCTCCCAGAGCCCAGGTATTTGAGAATTTACCATTTGGTGGTGCTTTTGCAAGGGCTGGGGGTCGGGGGGTTATGGAATCTTTAGGAGGCAGAGGCTTGCTGGAGGAAGTGTATTCCTATGGGTGGGCTTTGAGAGCATATAGCCTTGGCCAATTACTAGTCCACGTTCCATGAGCCCTGCATGCAGGCAGAAATGTCATCAGTCACTTCTTGCTCTGGCGGGGAGGACATGAGCTGAAATGCAAGGAGCATTGGGACCAACTGGGCTGGGCGGGGGAGAGGAGGTATGTAGGCTTTGGGATGCATGTTCAACCCCAGACCTGGGGAGCGATCATCTGCCTGGAAACTGGAGAAAGCAAGCTCCCAGAAGTGAGTTTTCAAATGACATGCTTGAAATACTGGAAGGTATTGAGAACATGAAAAAAATTAGGCAATATACGTTTCTTTTTAAAAAGAGGCAACTAGAAACTGCAAGAAATAAAAAGATGCATTATGTTCACAGAATATTAAGAAATGTAGGCGTTGGAGGAGGTGGGAATCAGGGGTGGGTTGTGGGGGAAGCTTTGGGGGCGGGAGGAGGGAGGACAGGGGAATCTGTGGTTGGTATGTAAAATGAATAGAAAATTTCTTAATAAAAATATGTATGAACATTAAAAAAAAAGAAATGCAGGCAGGCAAACACACTGGCCTTGCGAGATGCAAAGTTGCATAATTCTGTTGTCCTACAGACAAACAAATGCAAAAGTGCTAACCTGGAGACAAACTCCTGGCATTTGTACCCTGGAGGGCTGTGAGGGGCAGGGAGGGGCATGGCTAAGGAGACTGCCCTCCTCTGTTGCACAGGTACTCACAGATTAGGTAGGACAGTTGGGAGTATTGACATGTGCATGCAGGCACTGCCTCCCATTTTAACTCTTTCCTAACCGCCTTGTTTTTCATTCATGTGCACTTTTTCCCTAGGAGACATAAATAAGAAATATTCTGGAATAGTTGTGGGAACAATCTGCTCTGACAAGAGCAGTTCTGGGTTTCCCTGAACATTCCAGATTCAAGCAGATGGTGGCCACCCTAACAGAGCACCCGAGGACCTGAGTAGTTGCAGGACTAGCACAGTCTCTGTGAGGTGGACTCACCTGCATGGCTGGGAGCCGCGAGTGCAGCAACGTCCATGGCTAAGGGGACAAGTTCAGGATCCATCCCAGAGTCCAGCTGGTGTCTAAGGCCCGGTTCCTCCATCGAGAGGAAATGTTCCTCGGAGGATGACAGTGTAAAGGGCATCATCCAAGAATCGTGGGCAGCCATAGAGGAATCAAGCACGCTGCTGCCAGTAGCCAGAGGGCAGAGGCCAGAGACGAAGTCCATGGATGTGAGGCTGGCAGGATGGTGACCTGGCCACTCCTGGTACCTCTCGCATTCATATAGTGACCTGGAAAACATAACCAAACAGTGTGCTTGGGATGGTAGAGGCCTGGGTGAGGTGGGCGGGTGTTAGGCAGGGACTCGAGGCGAGGTTGGCAGTATGGGCTGAAGCCAATGAAGCTGTGGAAGGTTGCAAATCACTACCACTAATCACCCTGCCTGCTCTTCAGCGAGGTTGCCGAGGGGCAGGCTCTGACAGGCCTGGAGTCACAGACACTTAAAATTGTCTATAGCATAGAACCAGAAAACAGAAAATGATTGACAAGACCCTAATATCCAATGAATAAATGATGGTTAGCATCAAAGGAACATTAGGCAGAAGCTGACAGCAATTTAATGAATATCCCATCAGGGCTAATGGATCTCAAGCCTGATCAGAGCTTCTGTTAAACATCCTCTCAACCTCTGCCCTAGCCTGCATGGCAGGCACTATCTCATCCCCATTGCATGGGTAAGAGCTCACATGAACCTGCCTGCAGTCACAATCCTGGGTATTGTCCAGCCTGGCACTGGCCCCATGATGAATCAGCAATGGGCTGCATGCAGAAGGCTCAGGCCTTGCCACAAGGGAGCAGAGTGCATGGGGAGTCCCAGACAGTGAGGTACATACAGGGTGCTGCTCACTCATGAAATAAAAACACTAACCCATGCTCAGAAAAAAAGAAAACAAAAGCAATCCACTATGTCAGGGCCTAGCACAGGCAGCCCCGCAGTTAAGGTTCAAATATACTCTGATCTGCACTCAAAGGGAGGAGGGGACTAAAGAGGAAACGCCTGCCATGGCCTGAAGGAATGACATTACCTGAAAGCCAGTGCCTGTGAAGTGGTGTTGTCTCCAGAAAAGCCCACTGCTGGGGGCTGTGGCCCCTGAGATCCTTGAGGGGTCTCGGAGGGCTGTAGAGTCCCACTTCCTTCAGATCTGGCTGCAAAGCAGAGCAGAGAGGAATGCATTAGCGTCTACCTCTTGCCCAGCTGAGAGCAGCTCCACAGACTGGCATCAGAATTGGTCTTGAGTCATCCCAATATTCTTATCCCTTGTTGTGACCTCAGTGCAAACAAATTGTTCCAGGCGCGGAGATGAACTCACTCCCCAACTCTACTCATTGTCCTTCCTAACAGCTACCACACCCCCAGCTCCAGACGAACATGGCCATGCCAGGGTCAACTGCCAGTCGGCTAGATCTTGCCACAGAAATCAGCCCCCAAGAAGCCCTTGCGATGCTCACCTGACCACTGGGACACAGCCACAGACTCGAGATGGTATCCTGAGAGCTGCAGCGGCTCAGGGCCACTCTCCTTTGCACTGGAGACTTCTGATGTGGCCTCCTGGGCTCTTTGCATGTGCAGGAGAAGAGCCTTCTGACGCCGACGATAATTGGCAAACCAGTTGTACACCTGCTCAGGAGTCAAGCCAGTCTCCGAAGCCAGTTTCTCCTGACCCCCCCCCAAAAAAAAAAGATAACTACAATTGAGGTGTAAGGGGGCACAGAGGGGGCTTGGACAGCTCATATCCACATAGGAAACAGGGCACAGCCCAGCCTCACCCCTGCAAAGACAGCAGAGATTGCCATCTGTGAACTGGCATAGTGGGAAACAGTTTGTCTCCTGCGCATGTGCTGAAGAATCAGAGAACAATGCACACATGCCCCACCTCCTGCACCCACTCCATTCTAGGCCAGCTGATGCTCTGAGCACCCAAGACCTTAAAACAGGAAACGGGCCAGAATCTACCATGAACCCCAGGATCAGTGTCCGCACTGGCCCCAACCAGGAGCCACTTTCTTTGAGACACTGTGCCTTTCAGCTTTGGATCACACAGCAGGATTGGGGATCCTCTGGGAATTGACCAGGTGGAGAGGTAGGCAGCCCCACATGAGAAAACCAAACCTTGCAGAGGAGAGGTTGGGAAAAGATGGGGACCAACAGCACCCCGGGAGGGGCCTGGGGAGCCCAGTGAGCCCAGAAGGAGACACAGACTGCTAAAGGAGTTACAAAGTAGAGGGGGAGCCACGTAAGAGATGGGGGCCCTGCTGGGAGGAAGACAAGGGGTCTCCCTGGTGGAAGGGGGAAGAGAAGTCTGCTGAGCTGAGGGGAGGTAGGAAGAGGTGTCTAGGAAAGAGAGGAGAGTTACTCAGCAGGACATGGGGGACTCAGTTGCTAGGTGGGGAAAGGCTCAGGAAGAGTAGCAGAGAAGTCCCCTGGGGGGTGGGCTGTTGTCCTTACCAACTGGGCCTTCTTGGGATAAGCACCCACACCTGTGGCAAAGTCTTGCAGATGGCAGCGAACCTCTGGGAGGAAGTTCCGGTTCTTAGGGCCCTCAGGGCAGAGGGTAGAGGGTGGTGGGTTCCTAGATAAGGAGGGCCAGGAGGATTTATAGAACACCAGTTCCATCTGCTTAGGGCCTGGCATCTCACGGGGAAGGAGTTCTGACAATCATTCTCCAGTCCGCCCCTGCATCCCACTCCCAGTCACCTCAAGGGGTCTGATTCCTGCTTTCTGGGATGCCAACTGGTGGTGCACCACACTGCAGTCACCCAGGGAGTGAGCACAGGCTCCCCCCAGAGGCTGGCCCAGCACAAACACTGACTGCCCCTCCCCCGCCACTGCCCTGTTCACAGCAGCCTTGTTAACCCTGTTCTCTACTCCCAGCACTGTTTCTTCAGGTCAGACCCTGGAGCTGGCAAAGCCGTGAATCTCTCACCTTATACATGGATCCCTCTAGCTGCCCCTCCTGACTTGTCCCTGGCAGCACGACTTCTCAGACAACAAGCAGGATCATGGCCCCTACCTCCCAAATATACTGCCACTGGCTTCCCCTTGGCCCCTGTCTCACTGAACTCAGCTTCTCAGCTCCTTGTGTTCTCCATTCTCCTCCGTGTGCCATTCTTCCTGTTAGGCTCCATGTTGGGCAGCCCCTGCAGCATGCAGGATGCCCATAGGCGTTTCTCCCTCCCATCTCTACACAGCATTGGGATTCAGGGTCACTGAAGGGACCCCCGGCACAGCTATCCTTCTTCTGTGTGTAAGCTGATTTTTTCTGCTGCATCTTTAAATTTCTTCATAACGGACACATGAAGTGTATAAAGGCTATCTATCTGCGAAACAGGTGAAATCCAGATGTGTGGCATGCATGCACTTCCCAGGAGCATCTCATCTAACACATCCCAATTGCAATCCACCTGGGACTCCAGAGCCTTCTCCAGCCCAAACACACCCAGAACAAAGGGCCCTGCTCCTGGAAGTTCCTACTTAGCACAGAGCTCCTCCTGCCTCAAATTCAGTCCTGGGCCACAGCTGGCCTTCAAGATACTACAGGGGTGGCCAGCATAGTTACAGCAGAGACCATGTTCTGGCCGCTGACCACATGGTCCTGAGGTTGACTGTCTCCCTGGAAGGCCCTGGAAGGGGTAGGTGAATCAAGCCGCCACCTTTTCTTAGGGCCACAGGCTGAGGACAGATCTGTATTTGAGAGGGCTGGAAATAAAACCTCCTGAGACCTCTACTATCTATCTGCTCAGGACATCAGGCACCTCTCAATCCCTGGCTCCTGAACTGGCATCCACCTGCCTGGAAAATTGACCAGTGTGGTTTCTGAAGGGACTCTTGGCTCTGGCAGGCCTTGACCTTCTCCCTATTCCCTCAGACCTGTGAAAAACCATTAGATTCCATTTCTAAGGCTAGCCACCAAGTCCTGTTCCCTTATTTAGCTACTTACTTCTCCTCAGGCTGACTATCAAGGCCCAGCTGTCAAAATATCAAAGGCCAGCAATAAAAAGCCCCATTTGATTGCCATAATTAACATGCCCAACGTGGTATTTTGAATGTCATTGGCTGCAAGCCGCAAGAAAAAATTATAGAGATTCAGCTGTATATAATAGAGCTATACCAAGAAAGATCAAGGAATTTTTCTAGAGGGAAGCCATTTATCAGGGAGTATCTGGTGTTATTCAGCTTTTAATATTCAGTTGTTTCTTGCTATGAATTTCTTGTGCGCTCATATACTACCAGGCCATAAGGCAGAAAGTGTAAGTTCAGACCTACTGCTGATCTACTAGGTCACACCTCTACAGAGCCTAGGAGACAGGAGGAGGACTGTAGTTGCATAGATTTGTCTCTTCTGCAAATGAAGCTCAGACCATCCCCTTCCTTCAGGCCCAGGAGCATTACAGAGCTAGTGACTCAGGACAACAGGGCTTTTTGCATAACCAGGTGCACTGAAGACTTGAGCAGAATTCCTGGTCAGAGCAGAGTCCCATGGCAGGAGGAGAGAGGAGCAGGGCAGAGTTTTTGTAGAGACTGGCTCAGGCAGAGGAGTTAGGAGCAAGTTAAAGTTCTGCAGACTGTAGTTGGATCTGAAGCAGGTCAGAAGAGGAGAAGAGGGAAGAAAGACGAAAGAACAGGGGACGAAGATGAGATCAAAAGCACAGGAGCTTAGTTATTAGGACAGAAATAGAATAAGCAGAGAGGAACTGAATGTCAGGACTGAACTGAAGCTGTATTGATAGAATTTTGTCTTAAGAGAAATGAAGTAAACAGACAAAAGAGCATGGTGTATATAGTCCTTTCCCTCAGGAAACCCCACACCAGACGTAGTGTCTTCTCCAGGCCCCCGGGAAAATTCCAATAGGCATTGGCCCCCATAACCTCATTAGGGAGTGGTTCTATTAGGGGTAGGTGTTGGGAGGAAGTGTGTCACTGTGGGGGAGGGCTTTGAGATCTCCTATGATCAAGCCATTCCTGCTTCAGTTCATTTCCTGTTAGCTTCAGATCCAAACGTAGAACCCTCAGCTCCTTGTCAGCACCAGGTCTGCCTGCACAAGGCCATGTCCCTCAAGGGTGAAAAGGAACAGAACCTCTGAACTGTAAGCCACCCAGTTAAATGTTTTCCTACATAAGGTCATGGTTTCTCTATACAGCAATAGAGAACTCCAACTGAGACAGAAGTTGGTACCAGGGACTTGGGGACTGCTGGGATAGGTCTGATGATGCTTTTGTTTGAAGGATCGTGGATCTTGTGGCTATGCATTGGAAAAGCAGTTTAGCGCTTTAAGTACTTTTTAATGGGTGATTCTAGTAGGAACGTGGAAGACAGTGGTGCTGAGTGTTACTTCAGCTGTGGGTGCCTGGATCAAGTGTTTTCAGAGGAGAGGAATGTTATTATGTGACCTGGAGACCAGTCGTGTGATATTTTGGTGAAGAACTTAGCTGCTTTTTACCCCTGTCTGAAAAGTCTGCCTGACGGTAAGTGAAGAGTTTTGAATTAATATCTTTGGCATAGGAAATCTCAAAACAGCCTAGTATAGACTCTGTCATGTGGTTATTAGTGTTAACTCTAATGAAGATGTGTAACGAAAATGAGCAAGATGAGAAAGGAAACACACAAAATGTACAATCTGCAGAGAAAGGGAGCACCAGGAAATTGAATGGAGTTAAGTTCTGTGTTCAAGGATATAAACAGATTAAGAAATGGAATAAAATGTGTGGTGACCTTGGGGCAAGATCCCACCCTGGTAAGTTTCCAAAATGTGAAAAGGAATGGAAGAAAAGCTTAGAGCCAAGTTTGGTGGTGCACATCTTTAATCCCAGCACTCTAGAAACAGAGGCAGATGTTTCTCTGGTTTGAGGCCAGCCTGGTCTACAGACCCGGTTTCAGAACAGGCAAGCTTAGGCAGTGAAGAAAACCATCAAACCAGAAAGCTTGTGAAGATGTAATTGAACGAGGGGGCCATGTTCCAGCCACAGCAAGCAGCAGGTCTTTGCAGCTTCAGCCATGTGGTTCTGCCTTTAGAGTCAAGGACAGAAAAAAGGGGTTATGGAATTTGCCTCTGTGCCTAAAGAAAGTTTAGCCAAGGACATGCATGAGTCACGGATGCCCCTGAATGAGAGGCTATGTGTGAAGCTGTGAAGTTGGAGCCTGGATTTCCCTGGAGACCCCGAGATGTTAGAGATGCTAGATCCATGGGATACCTCCTGAGGAGAGCTGCAAACAGGGAGAGGAAACCAGCCCAAGAGAAAGAAGTGTGTTGCAGTCAACAAAGCTGAACAGAGTTGGAGATCTGAAGAGTGTTTTGACATCAGATATGGAGATGCAGAATTTGGAGTTTGCCCAGCTGGTTTTCAGTGTTGCTCCTGCCCAGTATGTCCTCACTATGCTCCCTTCCCTACGTTTTGGAATAGTAATGTATATCCTGTGCCATTATATGTTGGAAGTATGTGATCTGCTTTTTGATTCTGATTTTACAATTTTATAGGGGATTATGGTTAAGAGATTGCGTGAATCTCAGAAGAGGCTTTGAACTTTAGACTTTTAAATAAGTTTGAGACTGTTCTAGACTATGTTGTCTTTCAAAGTTGACCTAAAGGCCTTTTGCATTATGATATTGTTACTAGCTTATGGGGCCAGGGAGTGGAATGTGGTAGCTGGAATGTAATTGGCGCCTGTAAGTTCAGAGTGCGTGGTACTATTAGGAGGTTTGGCTTTGAAGGTGGAAGTATGTCACTTTGGGAGTGGGCTTTGAGGTCACCTATGCTCAGTCCACACCTATTTCAGTTCACTCCCTATTTCCTGTGGGTCAAGATGTAGACATCTCAGCTCCTTCTCAAGCACCATGTCCCACTATGATGACAACAGACTGAACCTCTGGAGTGTATGCCACACAACTGAATGATTTCCTAAGAATTGCGGTGGTCATGGTGTCTCTTCACAGCAGTAGAAACCCTATCTAAGACACCCAATAAAATTAAACACCTCATCCTAACATGAAGTTTCCCCTTGTACCTTTATAAACTGCCATTTTCCTATGTGCCATGTCCGTTTCCTTTCTATGCAGAAGCAGTCCTTTGTCCCGCTCCGGAACAAATATCCCTGCCCCTTTCCCTTGCTCCCTTCCCCTGCTCCCCTCCTGCTCTTATCTCCTGTCTTTTTCTCTTAGTCCTTTGCCCTCTGTCCCTCTTTGGCAAATACATCTCCTTTACGCTGAGAACTTGGTCTGGAGGTATCTTGAGCCAATTCAAGGTTCCCTACAGTTTCTCCGATCTTGTCCAAGTGCTGGCCAGGTAGCACCTATGTATGATCTGTTCAAATGAACCTCCCTCCCCCCGCCCAACCCCAAAGCAAAGACCTAATTCTCTCAGTCGTCTTACTGTCTCAATAGCCACACAGGAAGAAATCAACTTTATTTCTTTTCGATTGCCCCTGAATTTACCCACTGGCTAACAGTAAGAGATCACAACTTGATCTATACCCACAACCTCCAAGCACCGAGCACTCTGGGGGACACTTCACAAACACAGGGGCAAGACGCTGTGACTGCTTAGCTGCAGTCTGCTGGCCTATCAGCCTTTGGGGTGACATGATCATATCCACTATCTCAAGGCCGATTTCTTACTGAACTTCCGAGGACCTGTCTCACACTGACAATATCTGGTTATGCTCTCCGGTCAAGAACAAAAACCCCTCTTCTTCCTACAGTGAGTGAACCCTGTGACTCAGGAAGCCTGCATTACTCAGAGCATCAAAGCCTTCAGTCCTCTTTCTCAGGTGAGAGGCCCCGGATGAAGAACACACGTTCCACCATCTCAGTGTCTAGGGAACCCTGGTCTGTATCTCCCACAAAAAACCTCAGGCAGGTAACTTGACTATCCCATGACGGCTTTCTCTTCCATAAATGATGAAGGTAAGACTAATATTGATGACATTCTCCTACTACGGCCCCCAGGGTCTAGCCTGACGCCTAGACATAGGGATTAGATGATGTGAGGAACAGCTATGCAAAACTCAGTTGTGCTTCACTCTCACCGTTCCTAGTCACAGGTTCCTTGTCTAGTGATGATTGGAAGTAGAGACAGTCAGGATGCCAGCTGCGTACAGCCCTCTACTTCCAGCTACCATGTAACAGGTGTCAGTTGGAGTTGTGACTTGGTGATGGGCCTACCAGGGTGTGACAAATGCTGAAGTCATTACTACATTGTAATAAATACTGCTAAAGTGACTTCCTGTCCTTGTTTCCTCAGCCCCTTGGGGTTTGGATGGCACATCCCAACCCTGGAAGACCCATGGTGCCAGCACTGAGGGCAATCATCAAGTACCTCTTCCTACAGCGAAACTTCTGTCCCGGGTTCAGCTTGGAGACACACAGCCTCCTCATGGTCAGGTGATAGTGGACGTCATTCCAGAGTCGTACCAGCTCTTGGCTGCCTCCTGGCACCCGACAGCCCTGTAGGGAAAGCCTGCTGAAACCCACTCACCCTACACAACCTGGAGTGTGTGAGAATTGGTCGTGTGCACCAAACCAGCCTATGGGAAAAGCAATCATTGGGATCTGAACCACTGGTCCAGCAACCACCAATGTCAGTTCAACATACAAGCCCTTCAATCCAGCAGGCCCTGGGGAAGTGCGACCTGATTCAGCCAGTAACCGCACAGGCCTGCCAGATCTGTCATGCCAGCCCTGAACAGCTCACAGGCCTCTTTCCTAATCTTGAACCCTTCAAGCCTCCGAACAACTAAGTTAGCCCAGCCTCCACACAACCACACAAGTATGGAGAACAAGGTATGGTGGTTTTACTACGCCTTGTTCTCCTTCTCTTGCCGGGGCAAACACTCCCTCCCTGAGTTTCTAGTCCCACTGCAGGGTTCACCGTCACCAATGCCACTAACTGCCATTCTGTAGTCACCTCAGCTGAACCGCGTACTCCCTGTCTGTTCACTACATTCCTCCTGCGTGATTCTGTGTTATCATTCTGACAGAGGCTGGCCTGCACCGCGCCATTGTCTTTCCTCTGCCTCCTGAGTGTTGAGATTACAGCTATGCATCTCTATGTTAAGCTTCAGGTCAGGTGTCCATATCAAATGCGTCACTGCATCTGTTGTGTGACAGTTTCCTCCCAGATTAAAGCATTCCATCCTACAGGGGAGCTCCTAAAGCAGGACAGTAAACAACTGCTAAAAAACACAGCCTCAAGGCCTCCCTGAAACTGACCAGATTCACTGGGGCCCATCCTGGGAGAGTAAGCAGAGCTCAACTGCCAAGAAGATTCTGAGATACAGTAGAGCCAAGATCAAAGAACACTCACAGCTAAGCTAAGCCGCAAACAAGGCTCTGGGACCAGACCAGCTGCCCGGAAGAAGGAGAATGCAGCCAAGCTTCCTAGATGATGTTCAGACCAACAAAGGCACCTGGAAAGGACACCCTCTAACCAGTTGGTTGGTGCTGGGGTGGACCTTGGTGATGCAGCTGTCTTTGAGTCGTTTCTGCTCCAATAAGTAACCCACACCCATAGTCCTGTAAGTAACCCATATAAAACTCTTTGATTCACCAAACTGGATACCAAGTAGTATCCATCCTTTGGTCTGTCATGGGTTCCCTTTCTGGGGTGAGTAGACGAGTGTGTTTCGTCTCCCTAGAAAAATCTTTTGTCAAACAACTTAACTGGAGCCCAAACAGAGACCTGACAGAATCAAAGAGTCCTTGAGGAGGAGTGAGGACATGGGTCGGTCTCCTGTGCATGCAAGTCATGCAACTGAGGCTGCACAGCCAGAGGGACGAGCATCCACAAGGGAAACTCCAATACACTTGTCTGTTCCTGTGTCGTGGGTGGAGTGTGCTTTTGTGCTCTGAAAGCAGTGGCATGGTTCTTGCTGTGGGTAGTGAGACAGGCAACTAAGGCTGAGTCATCAGGATTAGGAGTGCCTGTGGGAATCATCCCAGGATGGTATTCTTGCTTGTGTGGTGTGGGGGTGGCATGCCGAACTGAAGAGTGGGGTCCACCACATGAATATGGAGATGTGATGAAAACAGTTAAAGGTTCAGAGGAAATTCCGCAGCTTTGATATTAGCGCACAAGATTGGAGACTGGTAGCAAGCAACAGAGGTTGCCTGTCGTCCAGCGTTGTGTGCAGCAGAAATATGTCCGAAGCTGGGATGGCAGTCAAGCGGGAACTTGTTCCCAACAAGAAAGGGATATGCAGATAGCCTCCCCAACTACAGCTGCTGATGTGGCAAATAAAGTAGATAAAAGGATGAGAGGGAGATGGTAAAAGTAGTAGAAGGTACTCCTCAGGTCCTACCTGTAGCATAAAAGAGGGAGAATCTGCAATCCAGCATGCAGATGGGGGATTAAGCATGGTCCAATGCAAGAAACAAGTGTGGTCAGGAAATACTCAGTGTGGGAATTGCTGGAATGAGAGAAGACTTTTAAATAAGTGATGGAGCAGTCTGTCTCAGCCTGGCTTGTGAGGTCATGGGGCATGGGAGTGGATGGCATCAGTCTGAATGCAGTAGAAGCAGGAAAACTGAGTAAGTAGCCACCCCTCCTTAAGTGAAAGGCTGCTTAATCCAAGGCTTTCTGAGAGAAACCCATCACTGATGGGCCGGCATTGCAAAGCCATTAGGAAGACTTGGTTATCTCCCTCTGAAGTCCCCACAACTAACAGGGGCTGGAGGACCACAGAGGAGGGGCAGACACTATGGAGGGAACCAGGAGTAGAAGGAGCTGTGTTTGAAGCTCAGTTCACTGGACCAGACAGAACCATGTTCATGGAGAAGTTAAAGAAGAGGCTGACCCAGCAGGGACCTCAAGGTTGCCGGTTGCCGGTAGGATGGAGCTTTAGTGGCTTTGCTGAGCCCTTTGGTGGGAAGTATCTTGATCACGTGGGAAAGGCTTTGGTAGATCCCAGTAACTTAGACCAGCATGTAAAGGGTGTCTGTAAAGTGAGGGAGCAACCTAGAGGAGGTAACAAAATGGGAGAGCAGAGAAAGAGGTATATCTGGGTTCCTCAAGACAAATGTGACTGGATTTGACTCGAGCTGGAGTTCTTACGGAAGGAAATAAGAAAACCTAAATGGTGTGCTACGGAGCCCCTGGAATCTTTAAGGCCCAAGGAGCAGTTCACAGAAGGCACCCTTGATAGAACAATGCAAGTGAAGAGGATCAAGCCTGTCCCAGGGGTGGGCAATTATAGCCCCAGACTAGGGAGTGTAAATTCCCCTCAAGCTAAAGGTAATGCTAAAGGTGGAAACTGTTTGCCCAGTCTGGAACTCCCCAACAGCAGGATGTTGAGAATGGGAGGCAAGGGCTACAGCTACATCCACAGAGCCAACCCAGAGAGTCAGCAGGTGCTGCAGAGGAGAACAAGACCATGTTCCCCTTTGGTACTGTCTGGTAGGTCTGAGCAGATTAAGTCAGGCCCACTGACTTTATCAGGTGTAGAGAAACGTAGGGAAGCTGCGAGAAAGAGCTCTAGGATATGGAAAGTATGGACGGAGAGAGAATGACAAAGGTTACAGATGAAGGGATAGCTCACTCGAGCTTGTGGCTCTGGCACACTTTGTCCTTCCTCCGTATTCCCTCTGCCTTGCTAAAAACAAAACAGAAAACAAAACACACAAACAAACAACCCCAAACCATTAGATTCCATTCCTAAAGCTAGCCTCCAAGGTCTGTTCCCCTATTTGTCCACTTCCTCCTCCTGAGGCTGACTACCAAGGTCCAGCTATCAAAGTGTTGAAGTCCAGCAATCAAAAGCCCCCCCCACCCCCATTAGTTCACCTAATGAGCATACCCAGTCAAAATATACCACTGCATCCTAGCCCATGCTAACACAGGCCTCCCCTTTTTCTCTCCTTAAAAATTTCACCTGAAAGGTCATTTGTTGCCTGAGTCACAGAGCAACCACATTCACTTTTCTTCCCTGACTAACAGAGGATTTCTCTGGTGTTTAGGTGTGGTTTGTGCCTAGGATCTGGGAGGGAGCCCCCGCTGCTGTCCGGGAGCCTCCTACCACAGAGAGCTAATTAAGTCAGTGCCGCCTATCCATGCTTTGTACCCAACCTTGATCTGTGGGAGAAGCTACCCAGCACAGAACCTTTTCAGACTGTATCAGACCTTGACTGTGTCTGGCTTTAGTATCTTCTTAGTCAGGAACCTCTGGGATCTCCTGACCCTTGCTGGGAAGAGATGACAACAGACTTTCCGAGTGCTTCTCAAGGTTATCTTTGTAACTCCACTCTTTGTTATGGGATGGTGGTTCGGGATGTCGCCTTGCCCTGCCCATCCTCTGGCAAACGTTTTGTTATATAGAGGACAAAATGCTAACCTCTGAGGGTTTGGCAGATTAGGAAAGCCATGGGAGAGACAACCAGGTGCAATGGTACTTCCACCTACCTACTACCCAAGTGTGGCTGGGTTAACTGAATTCCAAAAGGACACTCCCAGAGCTATAAGGTTATTGAATGAAACCCCTAGTTCCAGGGGGAGACTACCTCCTTATGAGTCATCGGCCAGGAAGTTCTCGAGAACCCGCAAAACATAGAGGCTATTGCTACTGCTGTTGACTGTATGCCAAAATCAGAGCCTATTGCTGAAGACACCCCATGCATATCCTTTGATTGTAGGACAGGGAACAATCAAACTGGCACTGAACTGGAAACTCCCAGCCTGCTGTCTGGGGTTCATAATGCCAGAGGTGGCTGGGCATGCTGCGGGTAGAGGGCTGTCACCGACGTTCCCGTTTGGCTATGGACCCTGTGTGCTAAAACATTGGCACGCCAGGCAGGATATGCCTGTTTGTGCTAGAGTGGGTAAGCCCAACAGTCTTCCGATTGGATTTAAGGACTGCTCCACAAGAGACTTCACATCTGGGAAGGTATGCCAGGACAAAAACCTGTGGCTGGGGAGGCCCGAGGTCCCAATGGGGAAGCACCTATGATAGTTTACTAGATGGATGTGATGAGCCTGTCAAACCGTCTTCTAAACCTGCATTTATGCCCATACTACACTGTTAGTGAGAGCCTCACCTCATAACCACCAGTGAGGTTCCGCAGAACAAGTGACTGTTACTGTGGCATGGGGCCTATTTCTTAGTCCTGCGTGGACATCTAGAGTGGCCTCCTCCAGGGCTCAGGGACCATTGCAGGAGAGGGGGAGGAAAGAATGCAAGAGCCAGAGCAAGGGCTGGAGTGTTGTGTAACAGTTGCCTCTGAGACACAAACATTCCATCCTGCAGGGGAGCTCCTTAAACAAGGAGGTAAACAGTTAAAAAAAGTAACTTCAGAAATTCACTATGCTCCTCCCTGGGAGCCAGAGTAAACAGACCCGAGCTGCAAAGGAGATTCTGAGACCAGCCCAGCTGCCTGGAAGAGATTTAGACCAAGTTGGACCTTGCTGTTATCTATAATTTGGTCTACTGTGGGTTCCCTGTCTGGGGTGATTAACAAGTATGTTTTGTCTCCCCAAGAAAAGTTTTGTCTCAAAACTCCACCTGCGCTCAGCACTTGGCGAGGGATTACCAGCAAGTAAGGATTTTCTAAAAGGGTCGTTGCCTAGCTTACCAAGCTAGTCATTACTTGGTCAAGTCAGAGTGGGCTGTCCTGCCTCAGCTCATGACACCACGGGTATGGTGGAGGCTGCTGTGACCCACTTCTCCTGTGCCGCCCACCATACCTTCATCATACCTGTAGAATCTGGAGGGCTAACAGCTGCTGCTCTTGATGGATCAGGACCTGAGTACACACCAGGGCCACGTCTACGTTGTTTAGCAGGTCCCAACGATGCTGGCTGTCCAGAATGGCTTTAACCAGATGGAGCACCTGAACAGGGTTGTGTTTGAAGTCCCGACACAGCTTGCCCGCGAGGGTCACCAACTCCGGTGGGGGAGGGTGAGCGTCCCCATGCTCCCTAAGCAGCCTCAGGAAGTTCTCCATCCCGCAACAACAGCTCTGCCAACACAGAACATTCAGAGTAACACTGATACCAACCCTGTTCTAGCCATGAGTCTTCAGACCAACTCCAGAAGGCAGGTGACATGAGAGCCTCAGGCTATACCACTTCCGAGCTAGGGGAACTCACCTGAGAAAAGCTAGGGTGGTCTCACACATCCTTCTTCCTATTCCCCCAAATAGCTGCGTCCTTAAGGAAGCAGCTGTGTATAGGCCACTGAACAGGGAGGGCACTCTGCAACCCCCCAGTCTCACCTCTCTGCGCCGTAACCCTTCCCCCTGGCCTGATCCTTTCTTCTCCTTTCCCTTCCTATGATCCAGGCTTTCAAGGAAGCTATGATTGCATTTCCATTTGCTCTTCGCTGTGGCATCTGTGAGTTTCCCAGAGGCCCCAGCATCTGCCACGTGGGTGACAGGGCATTCACCTAACCATGGCAGTCGTTCTTCTCACAGTTAGTGACACAGATTTCCAGGACTAAATGCTGGGTCCTAGAACATCTTACAACAGCAGGAAGCTACAAGGGGAGAAAGCGAATTCACAGGCGTGAAGAGTTCCCACCTTAGGGCATTGGTGCAGCATGTGGATGGCAGATTTTCAGGCATGAAACCTAATCACGGAGATCCCCTTTCTGTGGAATACACTCCAAAAGTGAAGCCGAGAACAGGCCGCCAGCACAGAACCTAGCATGTTGCCCCCAGGAGCCTCTCCCAGCCCGGCTGGTTCTCTCACACACTGGGGTCTACACCATGTGCCCCATCAGCCCTCAACAGAAAGTTCGGGCTCTCACAGGCCGGGAACAAGGCTATCTCAGGACCCGGTTTTGTTCAGTGCCTCAGCTCCCTGCTGTATCAGGGACAGGGTCAATGCCTCATGAGACCACCGGTGTCTGAGGAAGAAAGGAGCTCCCCCTGATACCCCACCCAGGCTGGGACCAGAGGGCCAGACCATGTTGCCGGGTACCTTTCCAAAACGATGATCCCTCAGAGGAAGAGGCTTGCAAATGCTAGACTTCAAACATGTAATGTGGAGCCGAGGAGCGCAGTAGTCAGGACACAGCAGCCAGCCTGGCTTTCTGGACACCAACACCCAGGGATCTATCTACACGAGGCACCTCCCCGCAATAACGCCCCACCCTATCCTCTTCCTCCAGCTCCTCCCTGAAAGCCCCCTCAGACCACTGGCTCCCCAGATCTGCAAACGATAGCTACAAAGTATCCAAACTTCAGCCTCGGCTGGCTCAGGACAGAGGGCCCTGCAAGACTCGGGGAGGTGCCAAGATACAAAGACCCCTGATTCTTAGCAAGGTGGCAGTGAAATTGGTCCAGGACATACCCTGGAGCATCCTCATGGTGCCTATACTCGATGACAAGTTGGGGTCACTCTGGTCCTCTGTGTTGCTTGACTTGTCCCTGGCCACATGGGAGTGTGGGCATTCCTGACACAAACCCTGAGGACTGGCAAGTTGGGGGCCTTGGCAGGGCTGTAACATAGCCCATTCTAGGAGTCTTCATGTACTCAGAGGGTGGGAATTCACCTTCTGTGGCTGTGGAATACAGGGAGCTTGGGGGTTCTGGGCAAACTAACTCCGGGCACTGTTTTCCAGACAGAACACCAAAAAAAAAAAGCAAGTTTTCCGATAGTCTAGCAAGTATACCGATGGTACTCAATAGCCCGAAGGAGAAAAATGTCCTGCCCAGTGCCCTGGAGATCACAGCCCAGGCACACTATAGGTTCACAGTCCCATGAGACTCTCCTTAACCCACGTTGTATGTTTAATCATGCTTAATACCATCCTGAGGATGGGATCCTGGTGATCAGAAATCCTAATCAGGACACTTGACCATGTCACACGGTACAACGAAATGGAAGAGGATGCTTGAGCATGCCTCCCGGTACAACCCAATGGATGAGTGTTGTGAACCTATTTGGAAAGTAATGGTAAAGTTACATACAGCACATTAAACCACGATTCTTTCTGGAGAAACAGCACTTGTTTTTGTTTTCTGAATTGCTATTGTTTGGATTTGGGTTTTTTGAGACAGGGCCTCATCGTAGACCAGGCTGGCCTCTAACTAGCTGTAATGACAAGGATGACCTTGAACTCAGAGTGTAGAAAAGATAACCTGGAACTCCGATGCTCCTGCCTCTGTTTCCCAGGTGCTGGGATTACAGTGGAGGAATGCTCAATCAATGTAGTACATCTTTAAAAATATATATATATAAAACAAATATATATAACAAGCAGTTCTCACCTTCCACCACGTGGATCCCAGGATCAAACTCAGATTGTCAGGCTTGGCGGCAAGCACCTCCATTTGCTGAGCCTTCTCACCACACCCTCCTCTCTTTTTGTCTGTTTGCTTGCCATGCCTTACATATGTACGATTTAGATTCTGCAAGGAAGTTCTGACTTCCCGAAACTTCTCCAGTGCAGACTCGGTGGCAAATATTATCTTGGCGTTTTTTCTTGAGCTATTTATAAAGTCTCTGCCTTCATTTAACTAAGTGTGCAATCTTACGTTTCTGCAGAGGAACCTAAATATTTTGTCTTCTGTTTTGTTGTTTTGATTCAACTGGTAAACACACATCCACCAGTATTTATGGCTTGTCAATGTAAGCTTTCCGACATGCCTTCAAAGGGCGCTGCTTTACGCACATTACAACAATCACAACAATTCCAAAAGCTGAAGGATCAAGTGAGCTGATAGATGGATGTTGCCTTTTTAAAGGAAACTAATGATTGCTCAATTGTGTCAAATGTTTGCCCTTGTCAGGCTAAGAAGATGATACAGGCACAGACACGTTTAGGGGAATTAAGCCAGGCTGTTTGACCGTGTGCTTCTCATTTGAAAACAAGAGTAACCGTGAGTTGCCCCAGGTGGGAAGCTTGCTGTGCCCACTCTCATGTGTCCTGGGACAGTGGACAGGCATGTCTGTGTCTCTGAGCTCTGAGCTCAGAACAACCGACATGGTGTGACAGAGCTAGCCCCACACATACATGTTGTAGGGAATTTCTTCCTCCACGAGGGGCAGAGTTCTGTAGTTAGGTTCTAAATGGACCACAAGGCATTTTCAAAGGACTGAAGAAGTCCCAGCTCCCACTGTTAGCCTCACATGAAGCAATGCTTAATTATTATGTGCTGTTTTCAGTGCTAGCCTGAGAACTGAAGCCCCATTTCGGGCTTACATTTTAAGAGGAAATGGATTGTCCTCAAAGGGAGGCCAGTGTTGAGCAAAATTCTTAGGATGCCGACAGACACACACATGAAGGAATGGCCGCCATGTGCCACCACACCTGGTGTGCTAAAACCCCTTTTAAATATAAAGTCTCTCTGGACATGATGCCATAGGCTCGAAATTTCAGCACATGGAAAGAAGAGGTAGAAGACTATGAATTTAAGGTCAGTCTGGGCTACATAACAAAACCGTGTCCCAAAAAACCACCCTAAATTTGTGTGTGTGTGTGTGTGTGTGTGTGTGTGTGTGTGTGTGTGTGTATGTGTGTCTGTGTGTGTGTGTGTGCACGCGTGTACATGTGTGTATGTGTGTATGTGTATGATGTGTGTCTGGGTGTGTGTACATATTTGTGTGTGGTATATGTATATGTATATGTGATGTGTATAGGATGTGTTTACATATATGTATATGCATGTGTGTACACATGTGTCATCTGACTTTTGTTTAGTTCTATGTAGTGATGCACTTTCATACGTATTCATGCCTCTTGTATCATAAAACTTCTATATGCACTATTTTAAAAACTTTTTACCAAGCTGGTGTCTTTCAAACCACATTGTTAATGGTGCTAACCCTTTCCAGGCCTGTGTTTTTATGTTCCTAAATTTTATTTTGATGTTCCTGTGAAGCAAAGATAATTAGACATAGCTAAACAATGCCCACTTCAAGCAGTACCTCTGAATAATTCAAAGGCTTTGAACATTTGTCCCCTAAACAGAAGTTTTTCCATCAGATAGATAGTTGCTGGTTTTGGTAGATTTGTGCTCTCTCTCTCTTGGGCTTGCTGTCTCCTGATATTCTGCAGAGAAATCTGCAGAGACGTTTCTGTAGTTGTTGGAAGTTATCTTTTCTTGTTCTTTCTTTCTTTTTTTTTTTAATACATACCAAGGAAGGCTGACCTAAGAGAAATCTCTCCTATACTTTTTATTTGGTTAAAATTGTCTGTAAAAGGTTCTGCTTCAGCATTAACTCCATGATGTCCCATACTGTCCCCCACATTTCCATACTCCAATGTAGGCTCACATCAGGCAGGGGCAGATCTCCCCCAGTGACAAGGTGTAATCGTTATCAAACCACCAGATGGTAAGTTATTGATATCTTGAGAGAATATTGCTCAGACAAGGGGAAGATTGTCAAAATGAGAAGAAAGTGGGCATGCGAACATAGCTCAGTTGGTAAAGAGCTCTTACCTCAAACACAAGGACATGACTTTAATCCCCAGCCCCCAAGTAACAGATCGAGCATGGCGGTGCAAGTCTGTAAGCCTGTCACCAGACAGACAAAGACAAGCAGACCCCTGGGGTTCCCTGGCTTGAGAACCTAAACAAAGTGGGTCCCAGTGAAAAATCTTGTCTCAAAAAGACAAGGTGGATGGCACTTGAAAAGTAATGGCACCAAGATTGTCCTCTGGCCTGCATACGCCCATTCGAATGTATCATGCATACACAAATATGCTCACACATCAGCACACACATACATACAAACATGTACAAAATCAGTGTAAAACCATAATAAACTTGATGTTTGTGTGTGATCTCAGCACTTGGGAATCTAAAGCAGGAACACCGTGAATATGCGGCCAGCCTGGGCTTTATAACAAGCTGACTAAAACCAACAAGAACACAAGCACTGTGCCTACTCTCCCCTAAGTATCTAAAGTCCAGAGTTCATGCAGAAATGGTTTCTACACACAGTTACCTGACTCCAGCTGTGGTGGTTTGAATAAGAATGGCCCTTGCTGGGCAGT